TTCTTCAACTGAATGAAAATAGGAAAAATAAATTACAAATGATAGTAATGAGCCCCTATTTTCTTATCAGGGAAGTGGCTAGTTAATTTTGGGAAAGTCTGCTCTGATCTAAATTGACTGGTATTTGTTTCAGCATGAAATCAGCTCTGAACTGTACACAAATGTGCCACAGTGGGGTCTTTGGTAATGGATTCTTAGTAAGTATCTCAGTGCTACTAAGGCCACTCAGGCACATCTGAGAGAAGCAGTATTATGTGGGAGGTGAATCAAAAGACTAATAACAATGACCACTTCCACCATCTGTTTTCTAGAGTCGACTGCATGGGCATGCAGCCTGTGCTGCTGCACAGGATCCCACACTGACACTGGCAGTTTAATGTTCTACTCTTGTCATGTTGACATTCTTCATAATTTGTGAGCAAGAGGACTTGACTCTTCATTTTACACTGGGCCCAGCAAATTATGTAGCCTGTCCTGGTGCCAAGCTTTGTTCTGTGATTTGTAAATAATAACAGGATTCCAGAATGGGAACTTCCTCCTCAATTTTGATTGAGGTACAATAGGATAGATATCAGGGTACAAGTCAGGATGCCAAAGTAAGCATGAGACAGCCTGCTCAACCCCTGTGAAGGGTTATAATGGAAGTGGCAGTGAGAACCTGCTCTTTATGTCTTGGGTCCTTCAGCCAGATCAAGGGTCTAAGAAAGGGATTAGAGAAAGAAAATACCTGTGAGGATTTCTTCTAAGATCCCCTCTTCTTTTGTTTGGAAGATCAGGACTTATGGGGGACACAAACAACTGATACATGACTCATGTCTGAGAAAGCCACAGCCCACTGTGTAGATCCAACTCAGACTTGGAAAATATAGAAGCTTTGAGCAGTGGTAAAATAGGGAAATCAAAAGGCAGTGATCTAGTTTGGCAGAACAAAGGATGATGCATGAGAGTTGGCTATGAGCCATCTGGAACACAGCCCCGGTATAGAATTACTTGGGTCATCCCAGGTCTATCTTGGGGTTGCTGGCGGCATGAAGAGACCTCAGGGAAGGATGTTCAGCTTACGGGGATGAGTTGAGGCAAGAATCTTGAGTCCCTGGAATACAGATGGATCTGCTGGAGTCAAGAGAAATGGGAGACAGACTGTCCAAAGAGAACATTTGAGGAATCTCCTAAAGCTACTCTCTTAGTCAGTTTGAGCTGCTATAACAAACTGCCATACACTGGGTGGCTTAAACAATAAGCATTTATTTTTCATAGTTCTGGAGGCTGTAAGTCCAAGATCAGGGTACCGGCATCATCAGGTTGTTGGTGAGGACCTGCTCCCTGGTGTGCAGACAGCTATCTTCACACTGCATCCTCACCTGGTGGAGAGAGAGCTCTGTGCTACTCATTGCTTTATATGGACCCTATTCCCATCATGGGGGCTCTACTCTCATGATGTCATCTAAACCTAATTACCTCCCTAAGACCCCACCTTCAAGTATTATCACATTGGGAATTAGGTTTCAACATAGTATTTTGGAAGTACGCGAACATTCAGTCTATAGCAGCAACTATGAGATCATCTGTAATCACCTGCATGGCTCTTTCTTCCACCAAGAGCTTCCAGCTTTAACTATACGCTAGAACCCAGAAAGCATCAAGCCATCCAGGAATTTCCTCTCGCTCTCTGTGACTTTGATCCTGAAGTGCATATGAGGACTGCAGGGGATGGTGAGTGGGCAGGAAGAAGGGGTAGAGCCCTTTCGCCATTGGAAGTTCCATCCTGAAACAGGTACCAGCTAGCTGAGGTGAGATGTTGCAAGTTCAGTGAGATTTGGGGTTTCTGCCGTTATATCAGACTGAATATCCTGGTGACTGAATTGAACACGTGTTTTCAATTTAAAGTAATAATTGGATTTCCTTTTTACCTAATAATGAGAGAAAAAGCCAGGGAAGCTGTCTGAATGTTCCTTCTAGGGTCGGGAGATGTTTATATCTTCTCCCACTATCCCATTAAATTTTTTTCAGTGATCACAGTGCACACTCATCATGCTTGTTGACAAATTGGTCACATTTTTATTATCCATTCAGTCTTCCCAATTTTTTGTTTTGCAGAAAGTACTATCCAAATTTTGGAAATGAGAAAAATAAAGAACATAGGGGTTAAGGGACCTTTGCAAATTAATAAATGATAGAGCTGGAATTTGAAGCCAGGTTTGTATGTTTATTAAGATTTGTTCTCTTAACCATTAGACTGATTCTTTCCCTTTAATTGGAAAAAAATACCATTGATTAAGTATTTACTATAGGCCAGGAATAATATTAATGACCTTGCATATGTTATTTACTCCTACATAAACTATGAGCAGAATCTATTCATATTATCTACAAAGGGAAATTGAGGCTTAGAGTGTTTCAGTAACTAGTCAGTAGCTAGTCTGAAATTACATGGGTAGCTCTTCTCTGCCTGACCCCCAAATTTGTGCAATTCATTGAGAGAGAGAGAGAGATTCTTTTCAGTTTTCTTGTCAAATAACTCACATCTTTGCTAAAACAAAATGCATATGGAGGTCTTCCTAATTATGTAGCCAGTAGCAGGCACCTAAAACAACAACATAATTATTAGATGGACATGTTCCCACCAAAAAGTTATTATAAATCTGGAAAGAGAAAACTAATAGTCTTGATAACCTTAGCCAATAATGAAGTGATCAACTATGTGTAACTCACTCTAGAGAAAATGCTACTTGCTCCTGTTTCCAGAAAAATTCAGAGAAACCTTCATGGAAAAAGTGAGTCATCAATAATAGTTTTATTTAAATAGTTCAAAAGTAAAAATGAGAGTATCCAGGTTGGGATGGCAGCAAAAGCAAAATCACAGAACTGGGAATAAATATAACCAACAAAGGGAGACGGCAGAGAAAGAGCCATCCTTTCAGGAAGAGCGTTGTTTGTTCTAAAATAGTGAGACATGTTATAACTACAGTATTTATGCAGAGACTTGAAGTCAGGCTGGTTGTATGTGAACAGAATGTGGTGGGAAATGAAAGTTCATTGCAGGTTCTTCATCATGTGATTAAGTCACTGAAAGTTGACTTCTAAAAATATTTGTCTGCAAGTGGAATGCTGGCTAGATTGGAGTGAAAAAGAGAACAGAGCCAGTGAGTGACTGTAACAATTGTCCTGGTATGAAATATCACCTCATTATGGAATGGACTCTTGAAGTCTGTTGGCTTTCTTTCCTGTATGAAAGTAGAAAAGATGAGGGTAGGAGTAGAAATATCTGGAATACACACACACACACACACACACACACACACATGCACACGCACACATGTATTCATATCTGCAACTCTATATCTGCTTATAAAAATCTGCAAACTTTAAGAGAAAAGCTGTAGCTGTGAAACAACCTTAAGAGTTTGTATCATTGTATATTCAACAATGCACATAAAGTTCATAGTTCAATCAACCAAAATAACAGCAAAGCACATGACAAATTTCTAATATCTGTAATTGTGTGGAGAAAAATCATCACTGTAGTGCTGGGAGGCATGATGTGGCTGTGGAAATAGCAGTGATTTTAGACTCAGAATAATGTGTTTTCTTTTGGAGAATGATATTGCTATAGGGAGGAAACTTGGTCTTTCCTTTGTTCTTGACGTTTTAAAATCAGCGCACAATTCCAGTTTGTTACCTACTGCACTTGTAGACATCAGACTATTCAAAGAAAATCTTATGAATATTCTGAACACTTGTGAGTAGATGACTTGTATTTAAAATTCCCTAACCTTCTTCCTGGAGTTGGAATGCTAAATTAACACTTATCATCAAAGGTTTTGTTGGAAAATGCCAGGATGCCATTGAATAAAGTAACTGTGAGGCAGGTAGAGGACTCTTAATGTGCCCACATTTTCTCTTACTGTATCTTGATAATAAGCTCTGATGTACTCTGGAGGGAAGGAGAGGAGGGGAGGAGGGGAGGAGAGGAGGAGGGAAGGAGGGGAGGAGGGGAGGGGAGTGTGTCATTGATGTACATTTTCCAAATCTCTCACTAGCAATATCCAATCATGGTTCCTATTTGAAGTGTTGACAATGGAACAAATGTAACTAAGAATGGTTGGTGACAGAGCAGCCCACAAAGCTCGAATCACCCTTTCCTTTCACTTCCACTTATCTGGTGTGTCTCTGACGTGAAACAGAATCAACTCCGAAGGGGCGAAGTAAGGTTACCTAGGATCCCAGACAAATTTCTTTTAAGTTTGGCTTATGCCTTTGAATGGATTCTTAAAAACTGACCTTTCTGTTGAGGCATTTTCTAGAACAGTAGGATGTCTTATTGAAGCATGCCTGTTGAGAGTCTTTGAACGCCTTTTTTTTTTTTTTCCCACAGCTGCACAAATCTACTCAGGCTTTTGACAGGAAAAAAACAATGTGATATTATTTTTACTCAACTCTGGAATATTTAATTTTCATTCTCATGAATTATAATTTGTTCGAAGTAATGAAATAGAAGTGTATCTTTGGAATCAGATGTGATTTTGTGCTCTCCCTTTCAAAAACACTTATTTTGGTTGTTTCTATACAAAGTATTAGTCAGCTATATTCCTGTGGGTACAATGGGCACATGGTTGATTTCTTCAAGGATTTATATCTGAAATAAATACAAGCTGCTCCCACAAACATGCTCTTGAATTTGTAGAAGATACAGTCGGTGATTTGGTTAAAATTGAGGAGTCCTCAGGAATGTTATATGTTGTTCTTTCCAGGTACTTTTTCTTATCTTGGGATGATGGATCTCTATGAAAACCTTTTAATTGGTTTGAACATTTTCTCATAATGCAACACTTCCTAGGCCTTACTTTTTAATTTTAATTTTATTTCAGCATATTAGGGGGGTACAAATGTTTAGGTTACATATACTGCCTTTGCTCCATCCGAGTCAGAGTTTCAAATGTGTCCATCACCCAGATAGTGCACGCTGCACCCATTAGGTGTGAATATACCCATCCCCTCCTCCCTACTCCCACCTGCCAGACATCCTAGGCCTTACTTCTTTCATAATGTTTTCTTTATTCCTTCAGTTTGAAGTGAGTCAAGATTATTAAATACTGATTGGAAAATCTAACAGCACAAATAAGTGAGTAAATTATAGCCAGAAGAGAGTGAAAAAAAAGTATTGGGAAATATGTTTGCTCTGAATACTCTTCCATTCTCTCCCTTATACTTTAATATAAGGGTGTTTTCCAACATAGTGCCATAAATTCCTTTGTAGAACATGATGCAGACATTATTACTAAAAGAGAAATTATTTAGAATAATGGTCTCTAATGTAATATAACAAAGAAAATTTTTATTTATATTTAATTTACATTAAAATAAGAAATAAAGAAGTCAAGTTTTACAGAATTTAATGTACAAATTGACATGTGTTTTCCCATCTGTCCATGGGTGGGTCAGAAGGTCTCATTCACTGACTTGGTTTTCAGGATAACTTGAGGTTAATGGAATTTCAGCAGCTTGGTGGTGTCTTTAAATCTACCTACCTATAGTCTCCTGAAATATATATTGCAAAATACTTATTAATGTGTGGTTTAGATTATATCATTTTAAAGAATAAGATTGTCACCTGCAAAAAGCAAAAACAAAAAAATTTCATCTTATCTGTAACCTTAAAAATTAAACTAAATAACAATTTTGTAAATAATTTTTTAAAATATCTTCCAAGTGGACATTTCAATGTGATTTAACTTACTTGTGAAAAATATTATAACAAAACACCTTCCGATTAGTTTATAAGAACTACTCATTGACATTAGGGTAAATAAAACTTTTTAATGTAGAGTTCACTCAAAATCCTTGGAATTACTTCATTAGTATTTTAGAGTAATAATTTGTATAATTTTTAAGCACTGAGAGATGAACAAAATTTAATACTGCTTATTTTATCCAAAGATTACCATCTTAAAATGGGTATATATGGATATTGACTAACAAAATTTCTACCAAAATCTAGCAAATAATAATTTTAACACAAGAAAAAAAGTCCTAATAATTACATAAAATAAATTAAATAAAATTACTTATGTTACTTTATATCATTACCTTTTAAAATCTCCATTGCCACTCAATATTTGGATATTGCATTATCATATTAGAACAGTAGTATCCATATATCACCTATGAATAAACAAATATATTATTAATGTGTGCTGAAAATTTAATATGGATGGATTTGAATGACCAAAATGCTCAAATATCATTGATATAATTGAATATACTGAATGACTATAACTAAAATCATATTATATTTTGTGTGTGTGTGTGTTGAATGACATTTGAGATATTAGGTAAAATTTCTCTCTGACTATAATTTAAATAACTAGTCAAATGCTGTTGTCCCTCCCCAGGCTTTCTCTTCCTCTGCAGGAAGAGAACAAGTCAGGAAAGAAATGAATACTCCCATGCTGGTATATCCCTAAAAGGCACTGAGTTCTCACCCTCTCTGACCAGGACCAATTGCTAACAGGGTCCCAGGTAATTACAGAAGAATCTATACAGCCCTTTCTTGAGTGAGAGGACTCTAGTCATAATCAAAATTTCAGTACCCCCCCCTCAAGCCACTCTCACTCTTCCAGCCAGTATGGTGAAGGGGCAACAAACAAACAAAAAGCCTGAAATACTGAAATACCTGCATATTGATTCTGGGTGGGTGAGACTAGAGGAGCCTCAGAACATCCCTGCATCCATTAGCAGGACTTTGGGAACAGTGGGCTGGTGTCTGTGTTCCTGGAGATAGCACAGAGTGATGAAGAATTGAAGAGAGTCCCATCAAATGGTCCACTACTGCAGACTGCACATGAGCTGCTGAACATTTCCTGAGCTCTCTAATGTGCTGCAGAGGCAACTGAGATTACCTAGAAAACTGAATGGGCCTCGGCAATAGATAAGAGGAGCAAATCAGCAGCTGTCTGTGGCACTGAGGAGAAAGGGCCCAGAAGGGCCCCCTGTCCTCTCAGTGGAGGCTAATGTTGGTAGGGATGTCACAAACCATGTGGGATCTCTTCCCCACCCCAAAGCTTCAGTAGATGAGCCAACTGGAACTTAGACATAACTGCAGAGGAAACAGTAGTGCTTTACAAAGTAAGATTAAATTTTTACCACCTAAAGGAATTGGGGCCTTCAAAGAAGAAATACATTGTTATAAAAATGAAGTTATATAATTTGTATATGTGTATTTGTGAACTAAGAATCATCTCCAGTGGAGGTGTGGATGAGAAACTGGAGAACTGGAGAGGAAAGAGTGAGAGGTAGGGACACAGACAAAGGAATGAATTGATGGAGAATAAGGACATAGGCAGGCTCACAGCAATGATTCAACAACTGTGCTTCAGGTACCTATTACATGCAAACACATTGTGAAAGTTTTGAGAATATAGAAAAGAACATAAACACTTTCTGGGGTCATGAAACACATGGTTTAACATTGAGATTTGAGGTTTCAGGTAGTTATGTTATAAAGTATTATGTTTCAAAATGAGTAGAAGAAGCAAATCATTTTCTCTGGAGAAGTCAGGTGTGTTCCAAACAACAGAGATGTTGGAGTTAACTCTTGCTGACTGAGAATGAGTTTTCCCTACTGAAAAAAAGAAATGAAAAGGCATACAAGCAGAGGGGTTTACTGTGTGCAAATCACAGAGGTAGAGAAGAGAATATTTATATAGCAAAAGTATTTTCAGTGCAGGATGAACTCATGATATTTGATGGAATAGCTAGAGGTTCTGGGATGTTCCATATATTCTGGATCAAAAAAATATTTTTAATTTATCATACATTGAGAACCAACCACAACACAAATAATCTAACCACAGTTGAGTTCTACTGTCATATCATTCCACAAACTTCTTATAAATGAAACTGCTGTTTGGTCGTAGAGACATATCGCTTCAAGTGTTTTGCACTTTATATTGCTTACCCTTTACTTCTGGGTTCAGCAAAATATTTTGATTTCAGCTGGTTTCTTCTAAAGTATTCTCATTTGTACATTTCTAAGCAGCAACTTGCATTCCAAATCTTTCAGTCATTTAATTCCACCACTTGACTTTAAAAGCTATTTGACCTTAATAGGAGATTGCCAGCTCTCAGAAATGTGTTTCTGTAAAGAACAACCTATTTCTGAGGCGTACAACTATAACCATTTGTCTGCAGCCATTTTCTCCACAGATAAAGGAATCATTTTAGATAACTGCAATAATACTTATTTAAGGTAAATATTATTAATATTAGAGCTTCAGATATTTTAGAAACACGAAGTAAAAAAGATATATGGAGCAACAACAGCAACAAAACACACACACATACCAGATTTTTAGTATCTTAAAATTTTTCAGAAGAATTATTTAATTTACTTTGAAAGTTTTTATTAATATTTTAGGTCAAATATACTGAATATTTGTAGCTTGAGAAGGTCAAGTGAGTATCACAAATTGTCATGATTATGAAGATCAGTCTGTCTTGGAGCAAGAGATTTGTATAGATCTCTGGCACCAAAGAGGGTTTTGTAAGAAATATGTTGTCTGGATGTCATGACTGCTTACTCAACTTTCAAATAATTGTAGTAGAAAGTATGCATTGTAGAAATAACTCAGCCAGAAGGCCAGAAGGGTGAGAGATTCTCTGTCCTCAACAGGGTGCTCTTCCTCCCAGCTGCCGTCCTGTCTCCAGCTGGGTCAGGTCAAATTCATGAAGAATATCTTTCTGAGACATGGAGCTGCTTGGCATTGAGAAATCTGTCATGCCTGGACACCTGGTTTCCCTCCCATGTCAGAATTTAGCATCAAGAATACATCTCTGCCACCACAGAAAGCAGAGCAGATTATTTATAAATATTTAGTTATTTATGCCCATCTTTTGTCTCATTAGCATGGATACTTGAGTGACTATTTAGATTGTTTTTAAAATACTTAAGCCTATGCATGGATGGCTTTGCTGTCTCACATGAATGGACCTAAATTCAACTAAACTTCAGAGAATATATCAAAGACTGCATTCTATATTTCTGAGTTTAACTGAGAACATGTTAAGATAAATTTATAACCTGTAAGTGAAAATAGAGTTTTAAAATAATCAAATAGTATTTTTCAAAGACTAAAGAAGAAATGCGGAGGTTTTTTTTTTTTTTTTTTTTTTTAGTTTTCATATGTAAGAAATTAAAAATATAAAATCTCCATAACATGAAAATATAAAATTCCTAAATTTACATAATGGGAGATTTCTATGGTGAAGTTGGAGATGAGGATATAGTTGTCAGAGGAAAAAAGTGTTTAAATTACTTTGTGGTATAAAATGAGCTCATTACTGCAAGCTCTTATCTTCCTCTATGGCCTTCACAGGGAGATCAAGAATGGAATATTTTATAATCCAATTTTTGTTGAGTATAACATGCTTAAATTATAATTATGGGGAAAACATATAAACAATAACTGGGTATCAAAGCATCAGTTTCTCTTTAAATAGTACTGTCCAAAGTCTGTGGCTTCAACAGGGAAAAACAGAGATGGAATAGCATTTGAGGAAATCTGATCCAAGTCTTTATTACCTGTTCCCTTCCCAGAAGCTCCTTACTAGAAATTCATTCAAAAGAGAATATACAAAAATGGTAAAACTACAGTCCTTTAGGAATATTTTTAGCACTACCCAATAAAATTCCTGGAAGTCCATAAAACATTTGGTCACATAAAAAGAGAGATAATAAGCAAATGCCTTATGAAATTTAGAGTATCAGGCATCTTAACTGAGCTATTTATTTAGTCAGGGAGGAACAAAAACAGTGCTCCTTTTTGCAGGAGAAATTAACTAAGATGACTTAAATAAAATCTTGTGAAGGGTGGGAGGAGACAGCTGATATGTGAACAGGACTTTTCTCAGGAGCTAAAAGCAACATAGTGTCTCATACTATAACTTGGAGTAATTAGTTTTTGTCTTGTGTATTGTTTTCATATTTATATGTAGATGGGTGAACATAGTGCAAACAGTTAGGTGGGCTACAATGATGTCTTAGTTTAGTAACAACTGCTTAACTGGAATGAGTTTCTTCATTGAACCAATCCTTGAAAGAATAAGGCTGCAGTGGAGTATAGTAAATAGTGTACAGTAGAATAGAGTGGAGAGGAATAGTGTCCTGTACCGAGTGGGGGAGAATGAAGTGAAGTATGGTGGAGTGGGAACAGTATTAATATTCTAAACATGGGCAAAACCACTGCTGATTTTTGTGGTGTCTGGGGCAAGAGTACAAAGGGAGACACAGAAACATTATACTCAAATATTTAAAAGTTATATTTCTAACTAACCAACTGTTAAATAAAGTATTTTATTATGTATGCCTGAATAATAAAAAACTAGAACATATCTTTAAATCTATGGTTTTTGAATGAATGAGTCAGCCAAATATCAGAGATTACTAAATTCAATTGTTACTGCAAATGGCTGGATATTTTGTTGATGGTCTGTAATGTCTGAATAAGTATAAAATAAATATATGTAATTCATAAATTATCTATATATTCCATAAATGTATGTGTTCCCTTATTTCCACAAAATCATGAATTTTGCCATTATCAAGATTTTCACATAATTTGTGTTCTAATGCCATCTAATGATGTAAATAAATAAAATAATAACATTTAATTATATTCAGAGTTCACAAGAGTTGAATTATTTTCAATAAGAAATATAAATTAAGACAAATGTAAACATAAAATTAAATCAAATTGTCTTTCCTATGTGCTTTAGAGAGTTATTTTTCCTCTAAAAGAAATTTTAGTCAATATTATCAACTAAAATTGAGAAACAGAATTATAATGGATGAATATAATAATTTTAAGCCTAGATTTTACATACAACTTGAATTTTACATTTAATTTTTTAAAAATTTAATTGAATCTTGGTTAAGTAATTTTATAAAAATAAAGCTATTCATAATTCTAACATTTAGTAGTAATCCAGATGTCCATGTAGAGAACTGATAACATCAAAATATCCTTTACACCTTATATACAACTATTACAAATACTACATTCCTGAGAAATGATATTTTATTAGATAAGAATGTCTTATAGTTATTCTATCTGAGAGAAGGGATTGAGAAATTACTTTGCTTTTTTCTGTTGCCTAAGTGCTTC